ATATATATAGTTCTACATATATCCTAAAAATTGTTTCTTAAAATAGCAACAAATTGTGAATGTAAATAACATAAACTTAAAAAAAAGATAAGCACTGCTACCATGCTGCTAATACCAATCTACAAGCAGCACACTGTCATTATGCTATTGAAATGCTATGTGCTAGCGGCCATGCTAACAATCCATTGGCGCATGGAATTGCGGTGCAGCCTGGTTATGTACTAGTTAGCACTACTAGTTTACCATTACTGATCATTGCCAACAGTCCAGATGTTAGCGAGCCTGTAACGTGCTACATGCTAGGTCTTTTTAAAGCTGTCCAACTGTTGGACCATCAGTGAAGACCTTAAACGTTGTCCTCGGTTCTCAGTGGACAGATTTTTGTAACAACATGCTTCCATGTTTGAAACATGCAGTAAGGTTTTTTGTGCTTAGCGCCACCTAGGTGCCAGGGGCTTCACCTTCACCCTTTTCCCCATAGAATCATTCTAAAAGATAAAAAAAACAAAGGATAAAACGTGATACGGGGGGGTGGGGAGGGGGAGGTTTCTCAGGAATCGGTTCCTCCCAGACTGGAGAGGCACTAAACTCATTTCCACACCTATTATCCTGGTCCTTTTCCTTTTATGGAGAGGTTTTCCTGTCTAATTATGGTCTGCTCGGTGTCTCCATCCGTTCTCCATTATCACCGTCTCCGTCATCAATTCCCAGCTACAATCGGGGATTGATTGTTTTCCAGATCCACGCCATTCCTCCAGTCTGATGTGGAACTTCCGTTATGAGCTGATTATTCTTCGTGCTGATCCTCAGGAGAGAAAGCGTCAGCACGTTATCTGGGATCGGTACCTGTTCCACCTGATAAGCAGAAACAAAACACCCCGTTTCACTCCATCACTGGTGGCTTCTTATTACCTGCGATGGTGATTTTTCACCCTGGGACGCTGACACAACGTGAAAGTGGCGTCTTCCTTCACCACTTTCTCGCCGTCTCACTATTGACCAGCTCATTGATCAGCGGCCCACACGTTAGCGCTCCATCTCCCGCTCCTCCTAATCTGCGGGAGTCGGACTCTCCGCCTGTTCACGTTAATCCTCTCTCAATCACAGACTTGGTCTCTAACTTTCCTCTCCTCAACGATCCGTCCTTGTCCTCAGAACTTCTCAATCTGGGCTTTGTCTAAACTGGATGGTGTTGGAGTGAGAAACGGACGCTGCCAAGACAGAAACCGGGCAAAAATATTCAAACATTTTTAGAAACATAGAAACAGAACCAGAACTTCATCAAGTGGTTCTGGAATCTTCCTGCCAAAAAACTATGGAGGAAAATGATCCACGTTACAATGTTTCACATTTTAACTTGTTAGTGTTGGTGGAAATTTGTTGACAACATTAATCTACCACGCGGCCACCTGCTGGTTACATCGGTGTATCGCTCATCTGTTGGATTGATTAGTAATGTCTGTGCAGCTCCTCTGCTGAGTGTTGTTTTTATTTCTTGTGTTGTTGACGGCCCATCCATCCATCCATCCATCCATCCGTCCGTCCGTCCGTCCTCCACCAACGTCTCCATCTTATCTCTCTCTTCCAACTTCTCTGTTTTTATTTCCCGACTGGTCGTGTTGTGAAGATCCATCATCATCTTCGTCGGACTGTGAAACACCACCTGATGTTTCTGCCTCTGACTGATACTCGATGTCACAGGACGGAGAACATGACTCCACTAATGTGCAGCCTCACCACCGTGCGGCCGAGGCCCCGCGGTTCCATCTTTCACGCCGCCGTCGTCCATCACGTGACGAAGGAGTCGTCTCTTCACTCACTTCACATCTTCATCACAGATGT